AGGGTGGGAAAGTATGTACCTATCTGTTCTTTCCCTGATCTCTTCCCCTCATTCCTGAAATACAGGAGACTAAGCCCCCTTGGGCTTTGGTGACCCCCACCATTGGGGTGTTTTATATTATGATTTGATTTTGCTGTACCCAGATACTTTCTTCCTTTCCTATTTTCTAATCATTTTATAACACACATGCTGACTCTTCCCTTCCYTTTCCTCTCCCTGGGAAAATCAATGAATAAAGACTTATTGGTACTCAAACTGTTTTCTCCTTGTCAGATATTTAGGGACCTTTTCTCTTCCCCATATCCTTACCTTCTTAGATTAGGACTCAGAAGTCACAGAAGAACCATTAAGTTTTTCAGTTTACCACTTTGTTAAGAATGAATCTTGGAAAGTTCAGTCCTCAGCACCTCATTACAGTGGGTTTTTGTTTCTAGTTAGGCCTCTTGTCCTTTCCTTGGAAGCTGCCACATTCAAGAGGGGATTAGAGGCTTGGCATGCATAAGAATGGAGTTGCCTCTGCCACTGGCTGGGATGAAAGGATGGGGCCATGGCTTGGGGCATGAGACCCTAATAATACTCGTCCCTTACTCCTCAAAGCCCTTTACAAATCTTAATTAATTAACCCCTTACAGTACCCCAAGAAGGAAAATATGTTGGGGAACTGAGGAAATTGAGGCCAAAGGAGAGTCGCTGACTATAAACCAACATTTTCTTTGAGCCAAAGTTTGCCCGCCTTCTAATGAACATTGGCTTTTTAAACATCTCCCCCTAAGGGAAGGATTTAAAAAACTTGATTAGAGGGAAACCAAGTATTAACACAAAGTTGAGGAAGCAAACTACATTAAACCTCAAACCCTGGTAACATTACCAGAGCAAGGGTTAGAAGTTTCATACATCCCCTSCGGGTTGGGCGTTTGTAGCTTAACTGTATCAAAAGTCAAAGCTAACAGTGGAAGCTCATAAAAATAGCAAACTGCTGTTGAATTAGTCTTCCTGCAAAATTGGACTAACCTGCTAGCATGCACCTCACTCCCCAGGAAGGGCAGATGAGTATTAAGACTATTCATGGGTGGGTTACTTATYTCCAGAGCTTTCTTTAATCATTTTGCTCAGTTAAAAATGACCCTTTCAGGCTGGGCAAAGCCAGCCTCAGCAATTTAGGGAAGCGCTAAGCAACTCTTGTCTCTAAACTACAAAAAAAAAAAAAAAGGCTGGGGATGTGGCTCAGTGGTTAAGTGGCCCTGGGTTCAATCCTCGGTATCAAAACAAAACAAAAAAAAAATCTTTCATCTGAAAAGAAGCCATAACATCTATTCCTTGCCTTGTTTGTGAAGTAAAACGAATTTTGTTGAACCCGGTATAGTTCCAGCGACTCWAAGCAATTTACCAAGATCCTGTCTCAAAAAAAGAGGGTTGGTTGGGCTGGGGATGTGGTTCAAGCGGTAACGCGCTTGCCTGGCATGCAAGCGGCCCGGGTTCGATCCTGAGCACCACATACAAACAAAGATGTTGTGTCCGCCAATAACTAATAAATAAAAATTTTTTTAAAAAAAGAGGGTTGGGGATGGGATCTAGTTCAGTGGTAAATTGCCCCTGGGTTCAATTGCCACTACCCTACCTCCAAAAAAGCAGGTTCGTTGAGAATGTGAGATTCTCTTCCACTACAAACATTCAGATGGAAGTTGTTTTATGTATTAAAGCAACTACTGGTTACATCAGACACCTAAGTTCTTTGCTTTTTGTCATTTTGAGAAAATACAACTACCAGTTTCTTCTGTGATTCAGTACCCTAAAATTCCTGCAAGATTTGGTTCAGAGCCGATTCCCTTTAATTTTCTACGTTGGTTYATTTCGGACTTCCGTTATTTTACAAGTCCTTCTTTAACAGCAAAGTCGTTTCTGCCCTTCCCTCTTATTTCCGCGGCTGTATGGGTTTTGACAGTCTGCAAATCACAGTCTGGATGCCTAAAATCAGCCTAAAAAGGACTGTTATTCAGGACGTCTGTAGGAYTGGCTAGTGCGACTACCATCTTCCCAAATGATAAATCCACTAAATAAGACGCAATACGGTAAAAATATGATCTTGAACACTAGGCTGGGAGAAGGGRTTCTGATGAAGCCCAGTACTGGCGCTGCCTTACCCCAGTTCTCAGCAGCCTCCTGTTAGAGGTCGAGAAGCCTCTCCGTTTTCTAAGGTAAGGCTCCCTTAATTCTTGCCCTGTGGTACATTTCCGAAACACATTTTTGCCGAGGCCTTGGAATCTTGGGGGTCAACAGACCTCCGAGCTCCGGCTGCGGGCCGGCCCCGCCTTCCCCAGCACGTGGCCGGGAAAGCCACCGCCTGCCGCGCTAGGTCACGTGAGCTCGACTTTCGTCCWTGCGCCGACGGAGCGTGCGCAAAGGGCAGGCGTGGCCCCTACCACCCAGCCGCGCCCGGTTCAAACCGCTCCTCCCACTCAGCCGCAARCGTCAGGAGCGCCCCGCCCACTGGGTGACGGGAGGGGCGTGGTTCAGCGCCCAACGATGACGTGTTCTTCCAGCGCCACGTCGTGAGGAAGTAGAGGCGCRCTGGAGCAGTGGGAGTACGCCCAGCTGAGCGGCAAAGCTGCWGGACTTAAGAAAGGAGAGAGGTGACAGCTGCGGGAGAGATACAGGTACAACTAAGGGAATAGATAATTATGGGACCTTTGAGCTATCAGGAAACGGGTGTGGCAGGCGAACGGATTAGTGACTGGGATCGCAAAGTGGGAAATGGCTTGAGTGAAGGAGAAGGAAGTTATGGGGCATGACCAAGATATAGGTACCATGACGTGTCAGGAAGCAGACATGGATATTCAGAAGAAATTAGTTCAGATAATAAGAAAAAGAAAATGGGAGCAAAGTCCACAAGGCCAGGAAAATCAAGCAAAGGCGTCTTGCCCCAAAGGTCCTATTAGCTTATACAGCTGTGCATGATGAAAGATTAGAGACTTAGGCCATTGTCTTTGGATTCTGATGCTGGCTGTTTTCCACAGTCCAGGTGCCTCTCTAGAAGCCAACTGTAGCTATTTGCAAATGCTAGTGACGTCTTATTCTCTTTCTTGTTTATCCAAGGTTACCTGGCTAGTGTCTTGTTCTGGGGTAATTTTTGATTGGACGAGAACTATGTCATGGATCAAGGAAGGAGAGYTATCACTTTGGGAGCGGTTCTGTGCTAACATCATAAAGGTAAGCAGTGGGCTGGGGCATCATTTGGCCTTTTGGTCAGTTGGGTAATCTTGTATTGAATCCTATTATTATTCAAGTTGAACAATCTATAGTAAAAAGTGGACTTTATCAAGAAAACAATCTTTGAATTGTAAGGTAACTTCCAGTCTACATTTCTATTAAGTTATTGTTTCAGCTGACATTTTCAGGCAGTCCAAGCTGTTCCAATATCATTGGTTAGCATAAACTGTTAGGTTTTCCTTATAGAGAGATGAAATTTGTTTCCTTGGAGCTTTGATCCTAATACTGTCCTCTGGGTTCAGATAGGAAAAGTAATTTTTCTTTGATGTGATATTATTGCATAATGGTTAAAAGAGTTTGAACCCTGGCAGGCAAGCATGAATGAAGGTCCTATTTATTAACCATGTGACTTTTAGTTATTATGCAGTTGTTATGAGGATAAAGTGAAACATACACATAAAGCACTTGGCACAAAGTCTAACATTTTTTTCTTTTGGTTGTAGATGGACATAATACCTTCATTTTATTTATTGATTTTTTTTTTTTAAAGAGAGAGTGAGAGAGGGGAGAGAGACAGAGAGAGAGAGAGAATTTTTTTAATATTTATTTTTTAGTTCTCGGCGGACACAACA